CACACACACACACACACACACACACACACACACACACACACACACACATCCACTCAGCCAATCACTCCAATTTACCCAAACAGTATGTCTTGATTCCCTATTTATTTCCTCTTTAGTCAACATGTTCTCATGTGTGACCAGGAGCACCTGCACTCAATTATGGTGCTGTGTCTGATTTAGGAGGGCATGCTGCGTGTTTTTACTAACTGAACTTGAAAGAAGCTTATTTTAATGTTACCTGAAATTGTTATATCTGATTTTAAAAGGAGCTTAGCACAGCTGTTGAACCATACTTTACTTCCTACTTGTACCTTCATTCATAATGTATTCTCAACCAAGTGAGAATACATTATGATAATACTCTGTTTAATATTATCTTTACTTGTCTGTATGTATTCCAGCTTGATAAAATTTAGTCCATATTGCTAATTTTTTTCTTGTTTTATTGCCTACATTGATTTTTTTTCTAGACTCCAATATTTCATTGTTTACAACTTCTTTTCATCATAGGCTCATCTCTTTCACTCTTTACTTTCTAGATCACCTTTGCTTTTTTTCCCCTTGTGTTCATGTGACACCCTGGCGCGGTGTCTCCATCCGTTCCTCTCCCAGTCRTTCTCCATGTGGCAGCTCTTTGGAAGCAGGCTGAATAATAGATGAATGGCATGGAGGGGATCGGTGAACCCAGTTTTCACACTCAGCCACATACACACTTTGTTCGAATCATGCCAAACAACCAGCTGCAGTTTTAGCTCCCATTTTATGCAGCTATCATCTATTCTTTTTACTGTTTTTTTAGATGTGGTTGGATTTTGTCAGCGTAAATGAAGTGCTCTTCACCTCGGCCCTTTGTGGCTGTTTAAGCAGCAGTTTCAAGTGCCGCTTCAGACTAGTAGGAATAATTAATAGTCGTGCTCGATCCACCCCCCACTTTAGGAAAGTAAATGAACATACCTGCATGCACAGACAAACACACGTCCATTTTTTATTGCCAGTAGAGGCTGGCAGGCTGCACAAAGTCTGGCATTTGCGGTTTTATGTGCATCTTTGTACGTGTTGGCGATTAGACAGATGGCCGATTAGATGACAGCAGACTGGGTTTCCTGCTCTCATTCAAAAAAAAATAAAAAATAAAAAAAATATATATATATATATAAATAAACACTTACGAATAGTCTGAGGAATCACATTTTGTCATTAAGAAGTGTGATAAATGGCACTGGTGTTGCTGGAAACGCTCCACACCTCGAGGATGTCTGCTTTGTTTCCAGCATAGGCTGAGGGTGTAACCGTGAAATGGGAGCACTGTGCTCATTTTCTCCCTCACTGAAAACCCTATCTGTCTGTCAATGTGGGTTTTTGATGCTTTGATAGTCTGTAGCGCCCTGAAGGCATGAATACACACAGTGGACCCAAACTGTTGAAAAAAAAAATTYAAAAAAACACGTATGTTTGTCAAAAGTTGTGGTTTGAGACCTTCTTGAATGTGTAATTCACTTTGTAGCGAATGCTGGCGACTATGTTTGCACAGCAYTTCTCAATTTTCTTGCTAGAACCTCACAATTTTATTGCATGAGTTTAAGCTATGTTCAAGAAATGTTATTTTTATTTATCTATTTATTTTTTTCAAGGTAATCACATGGCTCTTAAATGCATCTCAAACAGTCAGTGTTATCTTCTGATCATTGGACTTTCCTTTTAGAAACGGGTATTTAAAAACAAGAAACGAGTGGCTATTTGATTTTTGTTTTAAAATACTGAAATTAAAATWAAAATAAAAAGGGTTCCTCATTCTTAGTGTCAAAAAGGGATGAACAAAATTTTTAAAATGACTTGAGTTTCATTTTCTGTTTCAGATAGCAAAAAAGAAAATAACTTTAAAACAGAAACGAAAAAAGGCTTGTTTGTTATTTTACGACTATACTGTATATTCCCCCACCAGAAGGGGCGCTCGTCTGGCAGCTCTGCATAATTAAACACAAATTTCTGTGAGTAAAAGTCTAAAACACAGACGTGTATGTCCATAAATAGTTGAATGATGACTGCTGCTCTGTGACCAAAGGCTTTGCAGAGATACTTTGTGTGGCTTTTAGCCAAATAAGTCCTTTTTTTTACATCTCAGCCATTGCCTCCACTTCACCTCCATTTTCTCAATAAAAAGCAAAATAAGACAATTTTCATTTTATTAGTGCTTTGTACAGTTGTTCTGTAAGCAGAAAGGTCTTTTTTCCCTCCTGAGTTTTGACAAAATCTGTGCTTTTTTTCTGTTAATTCACATCCTCTGAGTTTCAGCGGTTGGGCGATACTACGACTTTGATATCGATCTGATACCAAATAAATACTTGGCAAATATATTCGATACTGAAATCAGTATCGATGCTTTTTACTTGTAATGGGATGTTTATTGAATAACTTTGATATTGCGAGCACCCCTTCTGGTGGAGAAACAGATTATTTTAAGGGATACAGTAAGTTGGCACGACCTGTCGTGGAATATGAACAAACAAGACTTTTTTCATTTCTGTTTTAAAGTAATTTTCTCTTTTGCTGTCTGAAACAGAAAATGAAACTCAAGTCATTTAAAACATTTCATTTGTCTTTTTTTGTCACAAAGAATAAGAAATGCTTTGTATTTTAATTTTAATTTCTACATTTTACAACAAAAATCAAATAACCAACCACTCGTTTCTTGATTTATAATACCCGTTTCCAAAATGAAAATCCATTGACCAAAATATACACTGACCTCAAACTCATCTTAATTTGGTTTCGATAAATTTTAAAACTATATTTTGACATAACAGGACAAAAAATGTCTGAGGCTGCATCCCTGAATGTCCAGGTTTAACCATGCTGATGATGAATATTTATTTTAAAAGCTGGTCAAAATCTGTTTTGTAAATCGTACTCCGGTAGATTAACTCATAAATGTTAGGAGGCAGCTGTGGGTACAAAGTGGGCCAAAGTGAGCATGATGGGAGCAGAAATAGGCTATGAAATAACCTGCATAATGGCCTAGAATAAAGTTTTGCATGCTGTGCACACAAAAATAATCTGTAAATTGAAAACCTTTGCCAACTCTGATGCCTTTAACAGCCCAGTAGTTGCTTGGTCGCAAACACTCAAAGTTCAGTGAGACTTTAACTGGAAATGTTCCTGTTTATTTATTTTTTTTATTTTTTTACAATCTCTTGCAGCCACATGGTGGTCAGATCCAGCTTTTAATGAGTTTATGGCCTTATTATCTAAAGGCTAAAAACTATTACCACCGTTCATGTTACTTTGTATTTTCTTAGCCTCCAACAACAGTTAAGACAATTAAGCTTTAGGGTTTATTAATAAACAAAAATAAAACCTAGCAGCAAGAAAGCAAGTGTCCGTGCTATCTCTGTTATGTAAAACAAAGTGACCAGCTCATGGCATTAACCTGCAGGAGCAATCAGACTGGTGTCTGCCAGGAACGCCACAAGTTAACTTCCACCTCGCCTGCCTGGTCTCTACCGGCTGTGTGGCAGTAAGCTGCCTAAGGCTTTCTGCAAGAGATTAGCTCGTGTGAGAAGGATTAGGACTAGGATGTGTGTGTTTGTGTGTAAAAGTGTGCGTCTGTGTGTGTGTGTGTTGTACATTAGGTTGGCAGACAGCCTTTGCATGTGTGCGGCGTGTAAATAAGTCCATGTTCTTTCTTACTATAGCCGCAGACCTCAGCATGCCGTCCCTTCATTCCTCAGCCCCCACTGATTACTCTGAGCCCGTGACTCTGATTGGCTTTTCTTTGTCTGATATCCTCTTGTTTCWCCGCAGAATGAAGAACTGGATAAGAAGTATGCGGGTCTGTTGGAAAAAAAATGGACCTCAGTCATCAGATTACAAAAGAAGGTTTGTGAGGTGTTTTTCTTTTTAAAAGACATGCTTGTGGGGATTACAGTCTTGTGACATAAGTGCTGAAAAATCAGACCCAACTTTTAAAAACTAGCATTCGTAACGATCATAAAAGTTTGACTCATGAATGTTTAGCTCCTCCTTTGGGTAATTATTGCCCAAAGGAGAGAGAACAATAGTATTTATATAACAGAGTTAATTTTACATCTGTTGAGCTTTAATTTAATGTTGTTGCAACTGAGAGTCACTCTGAACGTGACATCTAGCAATATTGCATGAGGTTCACATTACTTTATTTTCAAGGTTTGACCCAACTAGCTGCAACTCCATCATTTCTCTACATAAAATGATTTTAGTTTCAAAATCAAGCTCAACATTTGGCGGGTGATATTTGAGTTTATAAAGAGAWAATTAACCTGCAGCATGAACATCTGCACAGGTGATGGAGCTTGAATCGAAACTGAATGAAGCTAAAGATGAAATCACCCTGGGTGGGCCCGTAAGTCAAAAGCGTGACCCCAAAGAGTGGATCCCCCGCCCCCCAGAAAGGTATGCGCTGAGTGGCCACCGCAGTCCGATCACCCGCGTCATCTTCCACCCGGTGTTCAGCGTCATGGTGTCGGCCTCTGAGGACGCAACAATAAAGGTCAGTCCTGCTGGAGGCCAGGGGTGAAGCTTAGACGGAGGTTTTTGTGTCGAAGGAAGGCTTATATGCAGATGAATCAAGTAATTTTACCTCCTTCTTTTAAGAAGTTCAAAGCATCTTGTGCAAAAACTGATATTTTTCTCTAAATTATAGCTTCTCTGATTAAAGTCATAATGGCTTTCATGATGCACAATTTTTGAATGTTTTGAAATTTGTATGTATCAACTTTGATAAAAATACTCATCAYTCACTACCAAAAGTCTACCGCCAATTTGTAAAGTGTGAAATCATCRTTTTTGCCAACAAGTATGAGTCATTTGTTTTCATTTGAACATTGAAAAACAGTTGAAAGTCAATTTTTGTCATTTCTGTGAGCCAAATCCTAAAAATAATTCATAGCAGTGGTACTGGTGAAAACAGAGGTGTTAACGATAAACAATGTTGAGCCAGTTAGCTACAACTTTCACATCTTTGCATCCAATCTGCTCTTCAGACGTCGGTCCTTTCCCAGTTTGCACAGCTGTGCCTCTGTATGAGCGAGACYTCAGTATGCTAATGTTTTTCTGTATGATGTTTGCGATAAAGCTGACATTTTCWCATTATTCTGTTTAGACAGCATGGCTTCGGGAAGCTTGTAAACATTTGTTTTATTTTGAAACTTCCTCATAGATGTGCATTGGTATAACAAGGTGATCACCATCTACCCCAGATGAACTTAAAATGCTGAACAGGAGAAGAAAATGTGGTGWTTTTACTTCCTTGCTAACTTGATAGCTCTGTCACACAAAGCTTTTTGGTCACTCTGTTAAATATTCCTGATTGGTTTTCTTAATATCTTAGACTCCTCCAGCCTTCCATGTGTGTTGGATTAGATCCAGCCTGGGTTACACAAACACATCTCTCCCTATCTTCTCTCTACATTCCATATATAAACTCCATTGTCTGCTTCTGGACTATCTTTGCCGCAGCATCTTTCCACCGCCTGACCGCACAATGCCAATACTCTGCTGAGCTGTTTGTTGTACATCTTTTATTCATGAGACAATGACAGACACTTGTACATTTCCTACTTGGCTACACCCACACAGCAGGGACCCCTCTCCTAGTTTTTGGCGTAGTCCCCCCACCTCCTAGCATCCTGCCTCATTTATCTTCCACTTAAAGTGTTAACAGCCCCACCATGACAACCCTCCATCAGCCGTTCATCCCTCCGGAGCAGTCGGGTCTTGACTCGGATTTAAAAATTCAGCCCTTCTTTTCTGCTCAGCCTTTTTTTTTTTCTCTTTTTTATTTTTTTGGTTACCTTTTCTCTCTGTGGCCCAGCCTGACCCCSTCTCTGTCCTACTTTCCCCCCCTTAAAGCTCTATTAAATTTTAAACAAAAACTAGCCTTGAGCTATTTACACAGAAGCACAGACTGAAAACCTTGTTGGCTTTCATGGAGGATTTTTATTGTTTTATTTTTTCTATTCAGGCTGTTACGTTTGACAACCAAAATGAAACTGTCTGTTAATAACACACTCCTGTTTAAGAGCCACTAGGTGTAGACATTTAAAAGGAGTAAAGAGATGAATAATATTTTTCCTAAGGTAACAAAAATATCAGCATTCTAACTCGTTATTTCTTTTATGTGTACAGTAAAAAAAAATCTAGATGCAAATCTCGGTCTAATTGATTTTTTCAAATGGAGGATTTGTTGAGTTTTGGACACTGAAGCATGTTTTTGCATTATTACATTCAAACAATATTCATTTGAAGTTTTATTTGTGACCGTTAAAAACATATTGCAGTATTTAATTCTTTTGCAAATATTGTAAAGTTTTCAGTACTGCAGTAGTGCAATAGGCAAATCACAAAAAACTGCAAGAACTGCACTTGATGGTTGGCTCAAATGTTTGCATTTGTGCGTTTTGTCAGTCACACAGCAGCTTGAAGTATCTGACCAGTTAAATGGAGATTGTGAAAATAAACATTTTTTTAAATAACCTGATAGTAAGAGGTGTTTATCAATATTTGAAGCATCAGAAAATGTTTAATGGGRACAGTGTTTTAAAATCATTAAGTATCTGTGTTGTAGTTTCAATGCTAATACAGCCGCTGTGTCTATTTACATTGCTTTAAATGTCATGTTGGAATGGAAATTATGTTTTAGTTGTTGTTTTCSTCTAAAGCCAGAGCAGAAAGGYATCAACACTTAAGTATTTKCTCATTTATCAGAAGTCATCTCATCATTGCAAWATTAAGCACAGTTATYGCACAGCCCAGGTTTTCCTAATAACGTGCAGTCCTGCTGGGTTTAATTTAAAAATGATAAGAATCCTCCTGATGTTGGGCATTTCTTTTATAAAACTTGCCAAACATTTGGTCTTTTTAGGTAAACAAACCAATTCTGGCTTGTGTCACTTTTTATTTCTTTAGAAAAAAAGGCTTTGTGCACTAAAGTCAATAAAAGGTTATTAATGCCTTCTTTAAACTGTAACACATAGTAATAGAATTAAAAGTGCAAACTGAGAAAGGTACAGGTGAACTTTCAGATGTGTCAGCGACATTGTGGTATTGTCAGTTTTAACTAAATGGAAATAAATCTCCATTGATTTGCATTTGTAAACTCTTTTCACTGCTGTGGACAGAATGCAAATGACCAGACTTAACATGAACTTTCCTCAGTCTGCACGTTAAAAGAAGGAAAATACAGAATCTGTGTTCAGCCATTTATAGTCATAAAAATGGTGGACATCATAACATAAAATATATGTGAACAATTGATTAAAAAATAGGGTAATATGTTTGCACTTCAAGGCCATCAGTCGCTTYGTTTTGGAGCAAAGGCAAAAGAACTGCAAGGATGGGGGAGGAAAGGGTGGAGGTCTCCTCTCACYGTCTGGTCGAAATCCGCCTCACCCCAAGAGATGAACCAAGGAGGGTTTATCCTTGTGTGACAAACCGTCTGTCTGCTCAAAAGCCACAGACGTAACAGCTTTCTCAGGCTAAAGAATCAGGCAGGCTGCTGTTCACACCATATTCTGTCTACACCCCCAACTGGCAGTGCCAAAATTCGCACAATAAATTGTTTTTTGGAGGGGAATTTATTCATTAAATCTGCTTGAGAACTGTATTTTATTGCATTTTCTTTAACATAAAGTGCAGGGGTTACATATTGTCTGCAAAGTAAAGTAAGTAATTAAAATATAATTTAATGTTTTCATGTTTAATTACAGTTATAATGTCAATGTGTGACTCTGCGCAGGGAACACCGTTGGTGTTAAAAATGAAGAGCCAACATGTTTGTCAGTGCAGCAGACCTGGTTTTGTGTGTCAKTAATCTTTGCAAATGCTGTGATAAGTAATGAAAGGATGTCCTGTTCTGTTCAGGTGTGGGACTATGAGACGGGAGACTTTGAGCGCACACTGAAAGGCCACACAGATTCGGTGCAGGACATCTCGTTCGACCAGTCCGGCAAACTGCTGGCGTCCTGCTCCGCTGACATGACTATCAAACTGTGGGACTTTCAGGGCTTCGAGTGCATCAGGACCATGCACGGTAGGAGGATAAAGCTGCCAACGTCTCGAGCTGCACTCATGCACGCGCTGTTATTGTTTGTAGATCACTGCCATCTAAATCCTGTTTGAATTCTGCACCGGGCTCAGGTGCTGCAAACAATTTTTGTTGTCACTTGCAATCAGGCTCCAGTTCAGAGCTCTGACAGCAGCACTGTCTTCAGTACCAAAACAATCACGTCTGAATGCATCTACATGGATTCAGTTTATTTATTTTTTATATTAAACRTGGCAGTATTTCCAATTTAATGTGCCCTAACATCTGAATACATCTTCAGACCATAAAATTGCCACAGAGGAAGGATCCTTGGAGCATACTCCACCTTTTTAAYGCCCTAATTGCTAAATAAAAAAGGCAGAACCTTGACCCCACTGAATTAATCTGTGAAGCCCCCATAACTGAATATTAATAAAAAAAAAGAGCATACCAGATAGAAGTTGTCAAAGCATTTTTTAAATTTATGCAAGCTTTGCAAATCTTGTATTTTATAGATGCAAGCAGCAGATTTCACTGGTAGCCAGTCTTATTTATTTATTTATTTATTTATTTATTTATTTATTTATTTATTGGAAATGATTGTATGAGCAGCAGGCACACTTCCTCAAACAGATGAGTGATCTTCACTGAGCCTCCTGTGGAGTATCCTCCATTCCTTTTCTTCACCTCCCAAATAAAACATTTATTTGTTCAAACTTTTTTTTCTTTTTAAACCCAAAGCCAACTGAAGTAAATTATCGCTGATTTGGACAGCAGTTTAATAAATCCTCTTATTTGCGCATTCGCCACCCGCTTTTACTCTCTCATGGCATGCGTAGGTGCACAGACACAAGCACGCAGCTAATCTGGCCTTTCAGGGCCTCCTCACTGTTGTCTTCATCTRTTTAGCAGCTTAAATGTGGCCCAGTGTCTTGGTAATTAGGCATCTCTTATTCTGAGTGAAACGAAATGAGCTCCTGCACATTCTCTCCCTGTTTGTCCRTTTGATTGGTGCTGTCTTAATGAGCCAATCATCTTTTCTTTTTTCYTTTTTTTTTTGATGCTGACGACGTGTAAAATTGTGGAAGAGCAGATTTAATGGACATTTTTTGTGACATTTGAAGAACAAAAAGAAAGGACTGAATCACTAGTTCCAAATATTTTTTTGTTTAAGGTCTGCCTCTTAATAAGTTTTATGTTTTATTTTGCAGGACATGACCACAATGTTTCATCTGTAGCCATCATGCCCAACGGAGATCACATTGTTTCAGCTTCCAGGGACAAAACTATAAAAATGTGGGAAGTCGCAACTGGGTATGAAAAAAAAACATTTTCAACACTAGTCATTTTTTTTTTTACCCGTTTTTGTTTTGAACCACTTTGATACAATAATATAATTTCTGGTCCATTAGCTACTGCGTGAAGACCTTCACAGGTCACAGGGAGTGGGTCCGCATGGTGCGACCCAACCAGGACGGCACACTGATCGCCAGCTGCTCCAACGACCAAACGGTCCGCGTTTGGGTTGTGGCCACCAAAGAATGTAAGGCTGAGCTGCGGGAGCATGAACACGTGGTGGAGTGCATCTCCTGGGCACCGGAGAGCGCCTATCCCACCATCCTAGACGCCACAGGCTCTGAGGTAAAGAACTGGTTTTAGAGGGTTTTTTATGTTGTACCTGAAGATGAGGGGGGAAGGTAAATGTTGAACTGTGAGGTGCCTACAGAGCCCCACCCCTGGTATCTAAGGTTTCTGTGTACTGAAGTGGCCCTGTGGTGTCTTCTGTCTGCGGGCAGAACTCGGCTCACGTTGTATTTGCTGACGTCTGTTTGGTAACTGATCATCAGGTGCTGTTTCATCTAAATCACCATGAAAAGATAAGAAACTAGAACAAAATCAAATTGAAGCGTCATAATTTACTGTCGGCTGTAACCAAGCGGTGCAKTAAGAAACACATCTTCACTAAAAGATTGTTGACCCATAAACATGCAGAGCTGTCAGGTGATCTTTATTGCTGTCACTCTTTCATCGAATAGACGGTCTTCCTTGAATTGAAGCAAATGTTTGGTGGTTTTGTCTCCAGACAAAGTTGATGCTGTAACGTTTTAACGCCTCGCTCTGTCAGACGATCTTCTCTCCACGTGTGCTGACATACGTCACCACTCAGACTGACAGCCATGTGAACCCAACAGCTGGAAATGATCAGTGTGTAGATAAACAGACTGAATAAGCACATGGTCTACAGTCTGATCAGAACCCCCTCCCCTCCCTGATGCCTTGTGATCTCCAGTGTGTACAATTAAAGCCTTGACAGATTAAAATAGATTGTTTTTGCTTGCAGCAGTTGTCCTAGTCCAACATGTGCTCTCTTGCACAGAAGCTTGATTTTTGGTGTAAATTTAAACGCGGCTATGTTTTGGTCAGCCATGAGCGTTGCTATCGCTAAAGGTTTTATTCACGGAAGGCGCAAAGGCTGATAAAACATCCACTTATGATTTATCTAAAGAGGCACAGTTGGTATTCAAATTACATTTTACTTGTTTCAAACATGAAACCTGGGTGGACAAGAACATTTTTACTGTTCATGCTGCACGTGGAGCTGCTTAAACTCAAAATAAGTTACAGAACGAGCACACAGATGAAAACACGTCATCTTTTTCTCATTAGTAGTTTGGTAACTGGTGTTTGAGTTAAAACAGTTTAAAATGTGCTTCAAATGTTGGCCTTAAAAYATGTTATGTGTTCTCTCTTATGCTAACATAAACTCATTAAMGTTTGATGGGRAGTCTATAAAATGCTTTTGCAGTTTAAATGCTGTGATAACAAGTCAACAAACCAAGCCAGAGGAGGACAGCTTYCCTAATTATTAATGCTTTCCTAATTATTAATGCTTTCCTAATTATTAATGCTCCACTGCACCTGCCTGTGTTTTAGTGAGTCATACTTATTGGGCAGGTAAAAATCATTACCTGCAGCGTTCTTTCACAGCTTTCAAACTTTGTTGTTATTAATCAGACTTTATGTTGGACCGAACTGTTATACTGTTAATTGAACTTCTGTTAAAAACGTCTTCAGGCTGGTGGGGAAAATGTGGAATGATATGCAGTTTTGTTAAAAAAAAAAGTCTAAAGCTATCTTCCATTTTTTAAAAATACTTACAATATGTGTGTATAATGCCA